TCCAAAATCAGCATTTCGCAAGCCATTCTTGAATCTCAGCATCCAACCCACGATTTTTTTAAGTTTGTGCCAGTTGGAAAACCGTTCAAAAACTGACTCGATCGGTGTGGAAGTAGCAGAGATGCCAGGCTAACAAACGAAGCTCTGTTTAATTCTTAATCGCCGCATTTTCCCCATGATCTTCGTTCAGCGGTAGAACACTGAGTTCAAGTTGCTTCATCATGCCAGAAGAAATCGGGACCCTTAGTTCAGCGCGTAGACTGGATGATGTCGTCAGTGGAAATTCTTCGTGAGGTGTCATTCGCAGGGTTAAGCTTTGCGTCGACACACCTCCATTGAGATAGCAAGGATTGCTCGCGTATCGCCGATACGCAGCTAGCGACGAAGGTCTCATATCTCTTCTCGCCATTCTCTACATAGCGTAGTACACATGTACTGTTAGTCCAGAAAACAGAGCGTTTATGGGGTACTCGATTTCATCCCACATCAGTCGGTCTAATCTGGTCGATAGCACGGCAGCGGAAAACTCCATTCTTGGTATCGTTACAGGTTTCAAAGGGATAGTCTGGACTTTCCCATCACAAAGGAGCAGTGAAGGTCACCACGGTCGTTAACCAGTCGGAGATAGGCGACACCACCGTAGGCTAGTTGTGATGCGTCGGAGAAGAATTGGAGTTGGCAGGAAGTCACTTCACCAAAGTCGTTGGGTTTGGAGCATCGTTCTACACGAAAATGCTCAAATTTTGGTAACTCGTACAGCCATGTCTGCCAGCGTCTCAGATCTTCATCCGGTATACGGTCATCCGAATCGAGTTTCTTCCTGCAGAGATCTTGAAGTATTACTTTGGCTGTAAGGATGAAAGGAGCGACAAATCCAATTGGGTTGTAGACTGAGCTTGTGTCGGACAGCAATCTTCTTGTAGCTGGCCTATCCTTGAGGCTGATGCTGAGACCTAAAGTAGGCGAACCGTCTTGCGACTGGACTCCAAGAGCTCTTCAATGATGGGATGCTAAAAATCTAGGTTCTTCACCGCTGCTGCTCTTATGAAGTTAGCTGTGTGAGAGCCCGAGTCTTCAACTCTACCGAGGGGACCGTTTATCACCAAACCAAATATCGTCCGGGTTGCGTAGGGATCCTTAACTTCTTTCGGCTGAAGAATTTCTGACGCGTCATTCTCAATAGGCAAACCCACATTCGCATCGATCTTGGAGATTTTTATTCCTGCAAGACGAGGCCAACGGTTAACGTAATTTTATTGTGCTTCTATGTACGGTGCCTCGTTCCATCAAAGAGTACAAACATGTACTTGCAAACTGTCGAGGAAGCTGAACGAGAAGCTAGTAATTAAGTTAATTTGCTTATGTATCTCATCCACAGTAGGGGATTGGGGATCAGCAAAATTGTAGTACTTCAACCGACAAAGACCGGGATAGTCATGCGTGGAAGTCTGACACGAAAAAGTCTCCATCTTGCAACCTCTTGTCACACATACCACCGTCTTCTATAATCCAGATACCGTTTTCTGATAAATGATTGTTTTAATGTTGGATGCGCGGGATTTCCATATCCAAGGGACAAAAACTGTTTATGCGTATGAGTTTTTCCTGGTTAGATCACAATTACAAATTATTTCGCAATAAGCAAAACCGAAATATATGATTTAGGTGGGAGTTGGGGGAGATCTGTGATATGAATAGACTAACGTTCTTTCACTGGGTGGTGCTGTTGGCCAGGAATTAAGTATTTCTCGAGAATCTTCGTGCACTGTTTGGTGTGTTCGATTGGTTGCCCTCATTACACAGGATTCCTGATTACATTGATGTTCTAAAGGAGCTGAACACTGCAGCACTGGATTGTTGTGATTCACATGGCCGAGCGCTGTATATGTACTGCTGCTTTGATTTGATCCTAGAGGCAAGTAAGACTGAGTTTGTTTGTATGCGCTAAGCATGACGTTTTTACAATCATATCTATCTGAGTCGAAGAATATGCATGGTTGCACAGTTTTAATTAGGTAGTCTGGTCTGGTTACTCTTACACGCAGAGGTTAATTTATCAGTAACCTATCGTTATTTGATATAAACAGATGCGAATGTTAGCCTTGTATTGAAGATTCATCCTCTAGAGGTTAAAAAAAAAGTTTTAAGGAGTTTTTTATCGATCCATATTTTTTGGTTGACGACTGGAAGATTTTGACAAAATATCACAGTTTACGGCAAAAATGTCCACTAACCCAGCCTTTTCATCTGACATAGTGCCGAGGTTTTACTTAAACGTTTCTCTCGCTCTTTGGTATGTGTTGTTCCATCAAGTTTATTGCTACAGTCATCAGATGTTGCCCCAACAACACGCTGAATGGATTGATAATGGCAATAATGGCAGAGTCAAGGACATTTGTGAACAAATGTTTTTACTCAAGCGCATTTTGAGTCCCAGATGCTTTTAGGAAATTACAAACTCAAAGCTTGCTTGATCCTTTGGCTTGTTAATGAATGTAATTTTAGGCGATTACACTACCTTATTGTTATGGCAGGTATGCTTGACGGCGTGACTGGAAGAATGCCGATGCTCTCATGTCTTCTGCTTCTCGTATTTATCATTGCATGAAGGGATAACGAAACGGGCTAAGTTTGTCTCTAAAATCATTCCTATCTATAGTTGGAATATGCTGGTCGACTTTCCATTTTTCTAAGGAATCTCGTCTTTTACTCGCCTAACTTATGCCCTCGTTTTGCCTGATAATTTAACGGGTGAAAGAAAGCCTGTGAACAGGCTTTAAGTGTCTAAAATCATTCCTATAGTTGGAAGATACTGGGTGACTTTTCCTTGTTTTCAAGGAATATCGTCTTTTCCTAACGCAACTTATGCCCTCATTTTACCTGACAATGCAATAGGTAAACGAAGCTCTGTAAACAGGCTAAATATGTATATGTAAATATACATATGAATAATTAATAATCTCGTTGTTGCCTTTTTAGCTTTTAGCTCGTTGTTGCCTTTTTACCTGACAATGCAATAGGTAAACGAAGCTCTGTAAACAGGGTAAATATGTATATGTAAATATACATATGAATATTTAATAATCTCGTTGTTGCCTTTTTAGCTTCGTTGAAATGAAGAAGATCAGTGACCAAAGCATTTTTAATTTTAGCTCTAGTGTCATTCAGGCTTGAGGTATTTATGTCAATGCATGACTATGCTGAAGTTGTGGAGTTTTGTGTCACTTAAACTTCAGGAGGATGATAAAACCCGACAAAATCATGATGAATTGTAGAAGGCTCGTAGCTTTGATTCCTTATTAGCTGATTAGTAGTTTTGTACCCAAATGAAAACATCGCTAAGTTTTAAGTTTAACAATTTCTCGTTTGATTCGTTTTTCTTCGTAACGGTACAATAGGGCTGGCTGATTTTACCAATCCATCTATTTAACCCACGCTCTTCTCTTAAACGTTCAAAACATGCCGATGATTTTTATTCATAAGCCGCAAATTAAAAACTCTGCAGTTCAGGAAGCGATTTTTTGTTCCAAGACGTTATTTGTTCCAATGACAGTTTTTCTTGTCAGAGATACGATTTTTCTTATAAGTATGCCACCAACTGATGCCGGGCGTAATACTTATTTACAACATAACTGAAGCATAGCGCGCGCTCTGATTGGTTAATTTAGCATCTATTATTTGCCCATGGCTGTATGCTGCTGACGTGAGCAGATGCTAAGACTATTTTTCCGCGCGCGCTTGTTTTTTCTGATCACGTAAGATCTGTTAAATAAAAGGGAACTCTTGTTACAATGTATCAATGTTATGTTAGAAAACAAATGGTAAACACCAGAGTTTGTTCATAGTTCTGCTGAACTCTTTCACCGGTTGTTGGCTACAGACCTTATAAAGAGGATTTTGGTCGGTATTTCAGGAAGCGTGATTAAACTTTATTGAGTTACTGGTGTGCAGTCGGTTGTTATGATTGAATTTTCGCGCGCTTGTTTTCTCTTGTCATGTAAGGCTACACGAACATTTTTTTGCGATGTAGCTCAATAAGTTATGTTATAAAACAAATGGTGAACGCCATAGCGTGCACTATTGAGTTATGAATGGACTTGGGAAGTTTGCTAAGCACTCAAGAAGCTAGAGTCGCACTCGGCTATCGCCTAGTGCAACCTCCCGCGTGCATCCATAACTCAATAGTGCACGTTATAGCGTTCACCATTTGTTAATCATTACTACATCTCGCATCCCTTTTTAATTCATCCTGACACACAAATAAAAGGAAAGAATCAGGAACGATCCGGGTATCTCAGAAAATAGCCCGCAAAATCTAGGAATAAGTATAGGAAAAATTGAAACATCAAGCTTTCTGAACAAGAACTGCAGCTTTTTGTACATGTGTCAAGTAAAGCAGTTGATTTTTAATGATTTGAAGTGCGAGATACTGGAGATGGATATGCAGAAATCTTCAAAACGAACAATAGCAAACCAGAGCGCCATTTTCGAGCTCTCTTTAAGCTGTGCGAAGTCCTTACCTACTCCTAGTATACCCGTTTTCATTTTTGTCGTATTGCATCTAACGATCCTCTTATTTCTAGTACCTGAGGAAATTAAAATATGCTTTCAACCACCACCCAGTGTTTAATGGTCGAAGACTTCACTTACTAGTATATTACTATCTCCTTCGGAAAAATGGACAAGTGTAGAGAAAAGCTTCGCAAGTGCTTTAACACGAGAGTATGGATCTTGGTCAGTGGCTTGAGGTCGAATGGGCTGACAAGAGTTGTAAGGAATGGCTGGAGGGAAACGGGGGCAAATTATCAAGGGACATTCATGTTCACTTTGCTAAAACCAATGCAAGGTTGATTGTTTTACCTTTTAGCGAATCGTTAAATGGCATTTTCAGTTACTTCTTATGTCGTTATAACACAAAAACATTTGATTTCTCATGTTATTCAATCGCACAAGTAAAATGATGAAGTGGACTTTTTAAGAGTTCATTAAAAAAGGAAAAGTATGACAAGGTACTTTATGCAAATACAACTCTTACATTTGGAACCTCTTTAAAAGTAGCTGTTTTCATCAATTTTCAATCAGTTTCATCGAATGAAAGTGTCAAGGTGCAATAACTTTCTCCGTTTCTATCGAAACTAAATAATACAAATAGATAAGTAAATACATTAAATACCTTTAAACTATCCTTGACAAATTTTTTTTCATTACACCACTACAAAAACCGACAGTTATAGTCATGCAGTTGATTCAGTGCTGTTTGCCTGGAACTATAGCTTTTAAAGAAACTTTCTAGTCTATATTTTAATAAAAGATGCATGCAATTTCAGAATCCTTGCTAGAAGATGGAAAATTAATGCTTCCTTAGTGTAGTTAACTTTATCAAGTTAACTATCATTACTAAGCTGTTAAATTTACATTTTGTTGTGTTAAAGGGGTTTTCTTACTGCAACACATCCTTATAGGGTTAGGGATAAATAGTCAGGCACGAGAAAAAGAAAACATCGGCCAAAATGCTATTTATCTTGCGACAATTACTTGCATTATCCGTCGAGCAAGCTCTCGTATCCGATTGATTTTGCCGAAAGCCGAGAGATCGGATCAAAACGTTGTTCTAATAATAATAATTTTAATTATTTCATTATTTCTATAGGGTAAAATCCATTAGATATATGATCTAATAAGCTTAAAATGCGCCTGATATTTTTATCCCTGGGTCTCTAAAGAATAGCATTGGTAAAAATTTTCGGATTTTTCGATTGCAGCAGATGATTTTCACAGCGCTAGAAGGCAGTTATCCTTTTCGCTGGCCTGTAGAAACTCATTTGGAGCTCATCAAGATTGATCTCTGTATCAGTTTTAACGTCATTAGGAATCTTGATCTCGGAGAAATGATCTTGTTCTCCATCTTGTGTGATGTTGTTTTGACTTCCTTTTTGTTCCGAGATCTCTTTGACGTCCCCGCTTAACGGTTCCACATTTTGATGATCAGTCAGCTCCACAGAGTCCGTGGAGGACTGACGCCTCTCCTTTACGATGCTATCAGAACCATTATCCTCATCGGGAGACTCATCCATGATACTGTTAAATGAAGGTACGCTGTAATATGCGCTTGTTTCATCCACGGCACTGAAATCCATATAAGGGTTGTCCTTTTGCATCATACTCTCAAATCTATTTCTCAACTGCGTGAAGCCTGGACGTTGGTCGGGGTTTTCCCTCCAGCAATCCATCATTACCTCATATCTGCAAATTATGAGTTCATTTTAAGATCGGATGCTAAGATTAATAATCGCAACTAAAGATAACGTATAAAAAAGTTTGTGTGGAACAACTCTAACCTAGAGAGGTTGGGTAGTCAATTTCTTGAATGACGATATCTTTATGCAAATGTTTTATTCTAACACTTGGTTAGACTAGATATGTCATGAAGGATTTCTGAATACTTTATGCTTCGGCTTACAATTCATTGTCACAGGTATCAGGTTGTTCCATTCTGTATCCATCCTTCAACGTGCGAAGAAGTTCTTTGTTGTCAATAGTCGGGTATGGTGTTCCACCTGTTATCATGTAAAAAATACTGTGAGTTTTGCAAGAGGCATTCATGTTACCAACTGGCTGTTTTTACTGACCTAAAAAGGAACATTTCAATCTTGCAAAACTTGATAGGTGAGATCTAGAGGCACGGTCGCCCAGTATAATGACGTGTAGAGAAGCAATTAGAGGTTTGCTGGGAGTACTGTTACCTTTTGGGCTTCATAAAGTAAAAATTTTTATAATCGTTAATAAATCGTTCCGTAAACTTACCAAGTGTTACCAATTCCCAAAGAACAACTCCAAAAGACCATCTGTAATAGAAAGAGTACAGTAAGTTATAAAATTCGAGCTTTGCACTCGGGAGATATGCTATGATAAAAAAAAATGTACTTACACATCGCTATGGGTCGTGAATGTTTGATCAAAAATAGCTTCGATTGACATCCATTTCAGAGGAAGCTTTCTATTTGTTTTTCCCTGATAGACCCTCTCTTCATAGACATGTCGTGTTAGACCAAAGTCGGCCACCTTGGCACTTTTATTCTCCCCGACAAGAACGTTACGCGCTGCCAAGTCGCGGTGGATAAATCCTTTCTTTGCAAGGTATTCCTGAAAAAAATTTAAAAACAATTGCAAGCTAAAACATACATGTCTTGAGTTGTATGTACAAGAGAAGATCAAACTAAGCGACTGGATTCTCAAAACAGATCACAGGCTTTACTGCGGTTAAAATACAGCCATAGCTGGGAGCTAACTTTCTTAATAAGATGATGCTTTGAATTGCTTCTTTTGAATTCATACATGTACATACCATTGCTTGGCTTATTTGCCAAGCAAACGCCATCAAATCTCCAGGAGTTAAGGATTCTTCATCTTCATTGTGCTCTTCGTCTCTTTCGTCTTTATTCATTCCCCTATTTTCCTCACCATTTTTGTTTTCTGGATCTTGAGAACTGAAACTTACAAGTTGGATGTTTTCAGTTTGTTCTTGTTGCCGCCCGGGAGCATTGACGTAGATGCGGTCACTTTTAGTTGCCTAAGAAAGAGGAACGTTTTCACACATCAACAAACATGTAGTCAACCAATGTTACGGTAATCGATAAATTGCCCAGTTTTGAGTATAGCTCGGAATTTTGAAACAACTTTACATGAAGCAGATGGTAAGTTATTGAAAGGATGCTACATGGAGAAAGTGTATTTCCTTCAGTAAGTTTCTGTAATTTATCGTCCAGTTTGGAGATTGGAGTTTAACGCGGCCAAAAGAAAAGTAGAAACGTATCAGAAGATTCAGGTAAAACTGATAAAAGTTATTGTTTCCACAAAAGGTCAAATTGTCTTCTGCACCGATCGATTTGCGTGCCGATCAAAGAAAGCTGCGAAGGAGATTAGAGTAAGATTGACAGAGCTTTGTTTCACACCTTGATAGATATCCCTGCATTTGTAGTGTATGTCTCACAGTAGGTGGAGTGATATGGTCCACGGGGGGTCTCTCCAATGTTCTCTTTCATCTGAGGGGAGACATAAAAAGGTTGGAAAGGTTTTTGTCGGCATCTACAGAAAAAAAGTGAAGACATTTCTAGTGATGTGACCTCAAGGTCATGACCATACCCTCTATTGCCTTGTGCTATAGAGCCACAGAGAGGTAATTTTGATAAAGCAACCTCATGGCTTTGTTGAAAAAAAGCTGATATAGTACATCACTCCTGTATGCAAATTGCAATCAGTTACCTTCCCTCGGTGTTTTCTGAGATATTTCAGGAGGCTTCCGCACGGGACATATTCAAGAAGTAAAAACATAGGTTCCTGCATAGTACAGCATCCCACCATGTTGACGATATTCCTGTGTGATCCCACGTCCTTCATGAGTTGAATTTCATCCAGAAAATCTCTTCTTTGGTCGCTGTCACCCATGTCTGAAGGTAAAATATGCAGAGCTTGAGTGTGCTTTCGGCCCATAACTGAGGAAAACTTCTCGTTTAAGAGGTGCGTCATATAAATTACATTTTCTTATATACTCATTCCAGTGCAGCGCTTAAGGTATCCTGGTATCCTAAAACCAACTTTTAATCCCAATTCGGGACTACTCTCATCACAACCTTTGGACTGCATCATCAGCTGCTTCTTTTGGTTTCAAACCATATGTTGTACAACAGAGGAATCATATTTACCGTGGAGCATTTTCACTGCGACTGTGCACAAATTATCTCCTTTTATGGTCCGCGAGGCTTTAAAAGTGGAATTCAGTGATGGTGTACATGGTCCTTTGAGAATTCCTTTGAACACTTTCCCAAAGGCTCCCTCATCAATCTCCTCTTCCAGATTCACACGGTCCGGATCAACCTCCCACTGATCAATCATCAAACCGACTTTACTGTGGAATTTTAAGTAAAAATATTTCGATGAATAACACGAGTTTGACAAAAAAGAAAAAGTTAAAAAACTTGACCCAGTCTAATGGGGGGTGCCAATGACATCGAAAGGAGAAAAGTGTTCAAAATGGTTTCAAAATAAATTAACTTTGAGCAATATATCTCACCTTTTTCAAAGGATCTTTAAGTTCAATTTGATCAGAGAAGCCATGTCAGAGTTTCAGAGATATTCCAACATGCAAAATGTTTCTTTTCGTATTTATCTACTATTTAAAATAATCCTTGAGTGTTTCTCTCCAATGGAAGAAATATTTGTTTCCTTTTTACTAAAGAAAAAGGCAATTAAATTTGATTCAATAGACTCTATTTTACGCAGTAGAATGCATGCCTCTTACCCCGGGATGAGTCCTTCAGCCTTTCGACGCCTTTGTCTCTCTTTGTGACACCAGATGATTAGAGAAAGTGCGATCAAAATTAACAGCAACGAGCCGATGACTAGTGCAATTATTTCACCTGGTGCCATTGGGACGTGATGAGGAACTGATGGGATCGAAATTAATAAGTGATATTAGTGTGATATAGGAAATAACTTGATCTGTTTGGTCCAGGGAAAGCCGCAGACGTCGTTCAATTAGATCTATTTTCTTTAGTCACCATTGTAGTTATGTAACGGTATTACTTAACCGGCAGAAAGAACACTACAGTCCTTGAAACCCAACTACTGTATTAAACAGCTCGTAATAATCTATCAAAGGAGCGATTCCTAAAGGTAGTATGGTGATTATCCTTACTAATAAACTTATTTAGCTTACTTTATTCTATATCTTAGCTCACCACTAACACAATCTCACAGTTGTCTCCAAATGTCCTCGAAATTAACAATTTTCCACAATAGCTCTCTTTCGGTACAGTTATCCAAAGAATCGGTCACTCCCGACAACAGAAACTCACAACTAATACACGACTGAGAGCAACAGGCTCACAACTACTTCGCGACCGATTCCTTATTTACATCTACAAACTATTCTAAAATATTGCGGGATTAAGCTTGCAACACAACTCTTTTGGACTATTACATCATAACTACGTGACCTATTAAAATGTTCTAAAAAGTTCCATGGTATGCATGTCAGGATGCCTAGCCATTTTAAAAATTTCTAGAAACTTATATTTATGGTCATTATCCACAACAGTTGGCAATCGATAAAAGAATCACAGTTAAATCCAACCATGTTACCGTGTTTATTTTGGGGTTTAGCCAATATCAATTAGGAAGAAGCATCTATTCTGTCACATGTTTCATTGGGTAATCCAATAATATTAGAGGCTAGGCTCGAAAGGAACTATAGTGTTTTTATCTTACCAGGCCTAGATAAAGAAGTAATCAATATCCTGTCTTCTTGTCCCATGATAGTTGACACTTCAAAAACTGGAATAACCTGTTTACAGCATACGAGGAAAACGACGACTAGCGAACGTGTTGTTGTTTGAATGAATAAATAAATAAGGTGAATGGACTAGACTCAAGCAGAGCTCGTAATGTTTTCCGAAATTGTATTTTTCGAAATTGAAATGAGTGATGGCGGGAGCCCGTTTCTCGAAAGCCTCGGTAACTTAACAGGCCCATAGAGCTGTCCTGTTTTTATCAGTTCAAGATGCGAATCTCAAACTTTTTGAAAATAGCACAATAAAACTGTCAGCTAAAGAAACAAAATGGACTGGTTTGGATGCCAGAGCCTGCTTTCTATCCTTAAAATTGTGGCTTTAACATACAACATGGCTTTAGGCCCGTTAAGTTGCTTGAACTTTTGAGAAACTGCAGTGGGCTGCGGTGGTGTTAGGCAAGCACTTTATCAGTGTGTCATCCCTGCACTTCTGTCATTGTTGAAAAAGTTTAGTGAATTGCAAACTTAAAATGCTTCCCACAACCTATTTTTATTGTTTTAGTCGAATCATCTTGATTTTCATTTGGTCTGTTTATTATCCAGTGTTTCTAGATAGATCTACTATTAACAATTAAGATTCGAAAATTACCTTAAATTCCAATTTTTCATCCATCTGGATTCCGTCGATTGTGACGTTATTAGATTCCTGTAGTAATCGGGTAAATTGCAATTTAGCGCCGGCAAATTGTCGACAACCATAACTTTGCCCCTCGTTTTGAACTATCTGTTACACTCTGATATTGGTTTAACACCTAAAGAACAAACTGTAGGCACACTTTGTAGAGATATGTATACGAGCGTTAGTAGATAAATGTATTTGTGAATTCCATAAATTATTGTATATATAATGAGTGTCTAGATGAATGAAGAGCAAATGAACAGTTTCAGGAACTTCACTGACCGTGGTAAGGTCGGTGTTGAGGTCGATAGCTCTCCTCTTTTTCTTCCCAACTGTTTCCGATGAGGTATTACTTATCCTGTATCTGTAATATTGAACTACACTGTGGTTAAACAGCGGTTTCTGCCAAAACACCGTCATGCGGAATGATTCATCAGAGCTGGGCATCAGTTCATTATGTCTCAGTCCAATAACTTTCACCAGATCTGTTCTTGGTCCTGAATGTAATCAAACGACGAATTACTGATTGTATAAGATATGCTTGGATTTGACATCGTGGTCCAATCATAATACCAATGTCGTAGTTTATCTTGTGACTCTTTCGATACACTATTGTTTCATTGTGCTTTTTCCTATCAAAAAGTCTGCGAATTACCAAAATAACGTCATGTATGATTATCAATGTAGATAGCAATGTAAAAGACGTTTGTTTAGAATTAATCTGTTCAATGTATTTATCTTCGTTGCAGTAACCCGTGAGAGGATGTATACAGAGCGTTTACCCTTAACACTAACAAGTACTGTTCAGGTAAAGCATTCGCGCTAAATACCGACCTGTATTAACTTTTGCTTTTGTCGTAAAAAAGTGCGGAGGAATGATTTTATGGGGTTTTTCTAAATACTTATTTGTTGTTATTGTTTTTAAAGTCATTCCGATTTCATAAATATAAGATTACGCACTCACATGCAAAATCTTAGTCTCTTACCAGGTGCAGTGTCCTCTATTCTCTTACTTTTTCCTGTGATGTATTTGTCATTGTAAAAGGGGATTATCTGTATAAGAAAGCAACCAAAAAGTTATAATGTCCTGAAGTTTATCCACTGAAAACTGACAGATGAAGAGCAAAACTATCTTTGAATTAATTTACTCTTCATATTCACTAATGGATGAGTGTACAAAGAAATCTAAATAGAGCGCTGTTCGGATCTTTATTCATGCAGTGCTCTACCCCTGATAATTCATGTTCCTTTCTTTTGCATTCAAACAATGGGCAAGGTTAGTTACCTCGGTGTTGACGCGTTGCTGTGGCAGTATTCCCGCTACTCTAAATGTTGTTCTTTGCTGCAAGACATAAATACATAAATGAACAAGCATATGAGTAACTATGTATATGAAAAAATTGAACGAAGAAACGAATTATTGAAAAAGCAAGTGAATAAAAAAGAAACCGATTTTGTTTCAAATTGAGTTTCGGTAGAATGGCTGGTTCAAGGTGGGACATACTTTGCACTTGATAGAGCTCGCTCAAAAAGATGACTAATAGGTCCTAGTGCCTGTACAATAACCGACTTCAAACACACCAAAAGGTGTTTTTTTGTGCTTTTAATACTTACCAAGTTGGTTTTCGTATAACTTCGAAACTCATCCCGTGGATAACCATGGAAATGGCATGACACGTTGTAATAAGAAACGTGCCTGTATTTGAAAGATGGTGGCTCCCACGAGATGTTCACGGCAAACGTGTTACTCTGTTCACGTTCGACAAACTTTCCCACAGTATTGAGATTCTGTACCATGAGTTCGCCATCAGGAGGCACTAGAGGGATACAAACAAGGCATGTATGATCATCATCATCAACATTATCATCATCATCATCATCACCATGATCATCAACATTATCATCACTATCACCATTATTTGGTTAAAGAACAGTGGCCTGATGTTTCGCGCGCTGAAGGTCGGCCAGAAACTCGCAACCCTGACTAGGTGTCTATTGTAGCTGAGTTCCCAAGAGATACATCCCGAAGGGATGCGAGGCGAGGTGAAATGCGAGCTGGTTTCTTTTTCTATTTTTTTAAGAAGTCGGATTTGCCCCTTTCTACAAAAAGTGATCAGCACGGTGAGTTACCAACCAGGTGCACTAAAAGTCTCAGTGGTGCTTTTTCCTTCAATCCCGTTGATAAAATGTGGTGTAACCTGTTAAAAAAAATCAAAGAAGGAAACCTTAATTTTAAAAACCAAGTATAACGTGTGGAATAGTCTATTTTGTTGGTGAGCGTGTATATTTTTGCTTCTGTGCATTGTTGAAATTGCGCCAAACAGCTGGTAGCAATGTATTATCAAAGTAGAGTGTAACTTATTTTATTATCATTAAAACCAAAATCATGAATTGGAAAGTAAAGAATCAAGAAAGGTATACAACATAGAGAAAAACTGGTCGTAAGTCAGATCATGACGTTTGATTAATGAAACAGCAACGAAAGGTGAAAATTCTGGGAACCTTTTAAAAAGCAATACTTACACTTACTGTTACTGGCTCTCCGTAAGAGATGCCGTGAGTGATTAAATAGGTCCTGTTCTAAAGAAAATAAGAAATATACAAGTGTAAGTCCGAGATTGCAGGGTATAATTAAGTAAAACATCATGTAATAAACTGAAGTCAATTTTACCGGTAATTCATAACATTACAGTCGATCGGATATTGTAGGAGAAAGTGAGGCACAACATAAGGAGAGCAATTTATCTGAACATATTATCGACTGAATTTCATGGTATAATTCATTACTTTACATTAATCTGTTTTTGCCTCTAAATGCATGGCTTCATCTGGAAACTTCACCCTGAAGTACCTCGTTCAATTTGAAGATAATTTCTGCTCATGGGCAAGTTTAAGAATACCCCGCGAGCAGAGCCCTTTTTACCCGTCCTCGAATCGAAAAGAGTAAAAGGCTCTGCCGACATCCTGTTCTTGCACGTTTGAACATGCGCGGCGGTTGCCTAGACACTGATCCTTTTCCACGCCCCCTTGAACTATTATGGGCGCAGATTTGGTCATCTGTTTACATGAAAAACAAAGGTGTGCGCAGCAAAACCGGTTTGACTGGAGGCAAAACCGGCTTGAGTAGCCCGGAGTTTTGGGCTTTCGGCATTTCAAAGCAACAACAGGGTATCGGCAGAGCCTTTTCCCTTGGAGGGTTAAAAAGAAGAAAAGAAGAAAAGGCTCTGCTCGCAGGGCAGTTTAAGAGAGGAAAAAACAACCATTTCTGCCAGTAATTTACAAGGTTACCTACCGTTTGCGATACATTTTGGTCTCCGTCGTCTATTTTAGATGAGACAGTGTAACATAAAACTTGGCTGTAATTGAAGAGAGGCTTTTTCCAGGAAACATTTAAACGGAACTGACCAGTCTGAGGTAGCAAGACGAAACTTTCGAAGACCAAGGTTTGCACTTTAATGTGGGACGGATCAGGGCCTTTTTAACAAAAATTAGTGCATGATTAATTAGAAATTAAGCAAAAAAATTATCTAAATGAAAGCTCCAAATGAAAAAGATAGTGAAAGAAGCAACAACCTTTCAGTAATTCAGTGGGTTAAGATTGAAGTTTAAGAAGTGTCAGCAGTAATTTTTCATTCACAAGTCTACGAACGTATCATTATCGGGAAAACGACGAATTACATTGTTTGAGCTGACAGTAACAAGTATTCATTTTCTTACCTGGAGTAGATATTAAGATAGTGTTATCAGCACTTGGTGGGGCATCATCCTTAAAAATAGTCCAAACCTGAAGGGTTGAAAACAAAAGAATCTCTTGTTAGCATTGTTAGACAAGAAAGTTTTTCAAGTTTTTATATTTGCATATTTTGAGGACTGTTTTTAATTCGAAAAAATGCATTCCCATGGAAAACAAAAATTCCGCCTCTAAATCACTTCGTATTCAAATAAACTCAAAAAGTTCCACCATCAGTCAATCAGCAAATTAGCCAATCTGCCGTGTCGCTCCCCTTGCAATAAATGGAAAACTTTGCCAATTTGAAAATACTATCGATATCTTTTGTTATGCTATGCTGCGGGAACAGAAAGTCTAAAGGTTACATATGAAACTTACTCCCTCAGCTTGCGCTAGAATTAATAATATAAAAAAGGGCTAGGGGAGGGATCCTTACCGTTATGTTAAAACTTTGAGCATGTGGTAGTGACTTGATTGAAAATGAAGTTTCCTTGAAAAAGGTGGAGAAATTATATCAGTGATAGAGTTTGATAAAAAGCTATTTTAACCAAATTTTCCCAGAGTATCCCGTCGCTTTAGTTACCCTTCCCCACCCTTCTCCTCCCTTGGAAGATAGTTTGTGATGAGTTCGTTCATTAACCGGTCAGCGGACTCAAGCTTGCGGAAGATCTAACTTTCTTCCAGTTCTGATGATGGTTCAAGATCTAGCGGGGTTGTTCTGCCCCTTTAGTTGACACAGCCCCAACAATTTTTTCCTGTATGTACTTACAGTAGTGGCACCATATCCGAAGATAAAGTAGTACTCTACTGTCTTGTGGGGATACAGAGGAGGAAGCCATGTCAACTTCGCAGTGAATCTGAAGCCGTCTTCAATAGCAATCAGACTGGAGCTTAGGTTTCGAACTTTTCTATCCTTTTCTGGTGATCCGGGAGGATCGACTGTAAAGTAAAGACATTACGGCAGTGAAAATTGGGCATGCAACACAACATGAAAAATAAATGAAAACGATTGAACGTACAAATCATGTAAGCTGTTGGCGTTCAATCAAACGAAGAAGGAATCACAGGTGCTCTCTTAATAGGCATTCACCAATGATCCAAAGTAATAGTTATTTTAAAAGAATAAAGGCTGATAGTTTCGAAAGAAACTGTTGGGGCTGCGTCGGTGGGATTAACGAAATAATATGGATATATCAACAAAGTTGAAATGGTAAATTAGATGGTAAACCTAATTTACCATTTCAACTTTGTTGATATATCCATGTTCTTCTAAAAGTATTTCTTACATTTGTTGCATAGGTCTGTGCGATAACCGGTGATATTCGCACAACCTGTCAGGTTAAAATATAGAAATCAATAGTTTTTATGTTACTTTGGAGGCGTGCATCCATGACGTTACCCCATACGATTAAGGAATTGGATGAATGAGGGTCAAAAGTGGCAAATTCAAGACGTACATGTATATGAGATGTTGAGGTGGGATCAGCAGGTGAAGTTTTGTGTGCTATCCTTGCTACCCCATAATTGGAATATTCCGGCTGTCTTCCCTTTGCCAGGTGCGTTCGCTTCTATTCGTTACTGAAGGAATTCGTGGTAGGAGTCTTACTTTCTACGAAACCAGTTACAAGGCATCTGAAAAGTGTTTGCCACTCCATAATAATATGCTCTTTAGCGGAACCCATAGACTATACAATGGTGTTTATATAAGTCCTTTGGTTACTCCTGGTCACAGTTTTAATGCTTGGGCAGCTTTGGCTTGTGCTCCAAAGTGAAATAAATCAGACCATAGAGTGAGAAATCGATATTATAGATAGTGTATTCTTACCGGGGTACTCAAAAGTTATACTTGTTGCATTGCTCTGTATGCATTGTGACATTGCATAGACCTGCAGTTAAAAACATGGAGCGAACTGTTACCCAATATTTGCATAATGCTTGGTTTGATATTCTAGCTTATCAGCTGTGGTATTCGTTTGTGCATAGATATGTACATGAAACATAACATCATATCAACATTTCCTACCTTCAAAGTATTATGGCATTTCTTTAACTCATCATTGCGAGCCACGGTTCCAATAGGGTCAGCCGACTAAAAAGATAGAAAACTGATGAAATCAAATAACGTACATAGGGACTGAGGTATAAAAGTTCTTCAGTTTTGTATGGATGTCATTTTCCGCTGAGAGTTCTCTAAGTTTCTAGATGGTCAGTTAGTTAGATTGAGAATTGTTTTATAGCGGGACTCCATATACTTCAGTTTGAAGCTGTGTACCATTAAACTTATGTGCTATATCTATGCCAAGAAAAGTTAGCTTGCTACAGGGTCCAGCTTTATCTAAGTGGTTGCGGCTGAATACAAATTATTAAAAATCTCCTGAGCTCATAGTCTCAGGTTAGGCGTTGGTCAGCATGTATTTAACATCTGAGTTCAATTTCAGCCTGATATGTTCTTATAATTCTGATTAGGGAAAAGTGAACACGCACTGTTAAGTGAACTGGTTCTTCACAGACCTTCGTATTGTCCCATCTCCGTTTAACGCCATTTTCCAAAAAGCATTCGTATTCCCACACCATGAGGTGGTCGGAAATTAGTTCTTGTTCTGCTTCGGTAAGAAAAAATGAAATAAATAACCATTATAGTGTTTACATGGTTGTCACAGCCTGTCCTCACAACGAGGTACAGTGTTTTCATCTGAAACCATGCACTTGTTTCTATATTTTTATACCTATCTTC